AATTTTATGGTTTCAACGCGAAGAACATGATATTTAATAAGGTAACACACAAAACGTTAAAAAAAGTCTATTTGGGTGTAATAAAAAAATCTGAGAGCTTTCAGATATTTTTATTAGTCCAAAGGAGCTTTGTCCCTGAAGGACTATTGTTTTAGTTTTGCGATTTTACGTTGGTTCACTATAAATGTCCGCTTCACTTTTCAAACTATTTCCACCAAATGTTAGAGTCCTGCATTATATTTAAAGAAACTAAATAATGAAAAATCTGCATAAATGTATGTATATTTCTCGCATTGTGATAAAACAACGGTACATAGTGTCATCGAATTTTGAATGACGTAATCCTCCACCCAAATATGGGGATCTGGAATTCCAAATTTGGTATTTAGAATTGGTTTTATTATCTATTTCATATTATTTAACAAACTCAACGATTTCAAAGCGAGCAATGGCAACACTATACGAAAAAAAAAAAACACATTTTTATCTCCAGCGAGCGAGACTGTGTGTCGGAAATTCTAAAGATATGCTCAGTTCAAAATTATTTTATGATACTGTTGTTGAACTTAATTTTACGGTTTAAGTACGAAAAACGTGATATTTAATAAATAAATATAGCACACAAAATGTTAGAAAAACGCCTCTTTGGACGTAATTTAAAATCTGAAACCTTTCAGATTTTTTTTATTTATTATTTAATATTGTTTAAATCTTATCTCTAAGTCTCAAAAATATTTATAACTTTGAAGTGGGACTGATTCTCTAATTTTCAATTCTCCCATTCTCCTTTCCTTGCATTTTATATTGAATGGAGTTAACTCGCTACGATATGAATTCGAACCGCGTTTGCTTATAAGATTGGTTAGAGAATCGGTTGGGGGGGGGGTTCTAGTATTAATAGATTAGGATCTCTTTCCGTAACATATGGACTTTCAGATGTCCTTGAATGATTTTAATATGTTTTTTATATAAATAAAAATAAAAAATTATTTCAATTAAATATTAAATCACAGGAGAGGAAAACGAATGGATTTTCAGAACATCATATAATGTATTTTTCAACTTAGTGAGTTCAACAACTCTTTCAAATAAAATTTAAAGTATAGTCTGGAAACCAAAGCAATTCTTTTTATTTATTTATTTTTTCAAAATTAATCTGAAACCGCTTCCGCGGTTAGAGAAAAATGTAATTTTAGAGACTCAAAGTCTGTCTGCCGTGAAGTTTTTTGTTGATATAAGAATGCAGTCAGCATGATATAGGCACTGCTTTGTCAAAGACAGTTCAATGAACATTTTGACTTTAAAAGAAATCAACTTTTCCATTGAATTACTTTAAATGCAAGTTATTACGCATTTTATACCTAGACTAACGCGCTGCGGCCAAAACAAAATTTGAAAGATTGTACACCTGAAAAGAAAATGCGTAAAAACATTTTCAGTATGAATCAAATCAGTTCATTCTTTCAAAGCAACAATAATTTCGTAAATACTTTTTTGTTGCCAAACCAGGAAACAAAAACTTTTGACACTTAGATTAATAAGTATGAAGTCAAGATTTAAATTTAATGTAATATAATAACTTTTTTTTTTCAATATCAATAAAAGAATTAACATAGTAAAGAATTATCGTGTCAGCGATCTTAACACGAAACAAAAAAGCTGGCAACAGTAGCTATTTATTTAAAATGCTAATATTATTAACGAAACGTTTCGACATAAATACCGTTGCATGCTATTGCTGGCTTTTTACAACGCCAGAATATGACCTATACAATAAAATATGTTTAATGGCAATGTTATTTTTATTTCATATTTTCTAAAACTTGCAATTTTTTTGTTAACAAACTTTACTATTTCAAAGTGAACAGTGGCAACACTTTTCGAAATAAAGCCAATTTTTATCTCCAGCGCGCGAGACTGAAAAAATGAGTGGGGAAAGATGGCGTTTTCTGAGATTTTAATTAATATTTCGGCTAATTAAAATCGTACGAAGATGAGAATGGTCGAAATGGCTTGCCACGAATCTTTGGAATCCGGGGAGGGGGGGCTACCTCTTTCGAAATTCAACTTCCCGCTGTTCCGGAGGAGATAATGCCACAAATAAACAGACAGACAGACGCGCAGGTATTTTAATAGTATCGACCAGCTGCAGCCAAAGCAAAATTTATAAGTTCTATCTATCCCTGAAAAGCAAATGTATAGAAACATTTCAGTATGGAGTAAATCAGTTCCCTCTTTCCAAGCAGCAACCAACTCGTAAATAAATTTTTTGCTGCCAAACCAGGAAACAAAACTTTTTATTCTTTTAAGGGCACAGCCCTATTCCTCCTAGCCGGCACAAGCCTACCGTATGATCAAAAAATGGAATGGCCAGAAAAACAAATATAAGAAAAACATATAACGTCCAAAATCTGAATCTCAGTGCCGAATTCCAGTTCCATCTTTGTTCGGATCTATAATCGTCATTATTGTCTCTGCAAAAGCTTTCAAATTTGAATAGTTCCTTTTAAAATCTTCCTTAAAATTCTTTCTATACTTCTCTCTTGCACTCCGGGTAAGCGTGCATTCATCGACAAAATGCCTGGCGTCCCCAAACTTATCACAAATTACGCATTTATCATTATTGTGCAGATGTAACCAATTAAAATAAGCCGGGGAAGGCCCATAATTAGTCAGTACCTAATTTATATCAACATTATTTATAATATTTATCTTCTTAATTAACTTTATATTTTTCATTATCTCTTTTTTTCTTATTAGATGACTACCAGCAAAAATTCCATTCTGTATAAATCCAGTTTTCTATTTCAGAAATGGTCTTTTTTCTTGAATCTTGGATATCAAAATTATCGGTCCCATCCCCAAGTGTCACCAATTTAGCAAGGGTGTCCTCTCTTTCATTTCCGACAATTCCACTGTGTGCTTTCACCCAGTGTATTTTAACAATATGTTTTCTTTCATCCCCTTTTAAGGGGACTCATACATTTTAAAACCCTTAAGATGTTCGAATAGGTGACTGTTGCAAAGAATCGGGATAACTTATTTATTTTAAGAGCAATTACTACCAACTTTTTACAGCTGACTACATAATATAGCTGCTTTCTGAAATAGTAATCAGAAAGTTTGTGCTGCCACAAATATTTTTATAATTTAATCCGCTTTCTGACAAAATTTTTCGTCCTTTCTCCAACTTGCGCGCACAGTTTAAAACATTCTGTTTCATAATTTAATTCCATATTTAATATATAGCTTTTACAACATTTGGAAACTACCGTGAACCTAAAATTCTAAGGGTTTCATGTTAAATTTTTATTTTATTTTGAATTGAGTTTATAGAATGTATTTTATTAAAAAAAAATTTGTAATGTTTTCGTCCATAAAATTTTTCAATATTAAAATATTCATCAAATTGTTGGTTCAGTTAGAGAATAGTGTCCATATAAAGAATTCCATTCAATTTCAAGAATGTACCATTAGCCATTTTTAAAATATCATGCGCGCAAGGTGGAAAAATGGCGAAATATTTTGCCACAAAGAGGATTAAATTACAAAAATATTTGTGGCAACACAAACTTTCTGGTTACTAGTTTCCAAAGCAGCTATATTATGTAGTCAGCAGTAAAACGTTGGAAGTAATTGCTTTTAAAATAAATAAAATATCCCAATTTTTGCAACAGTCACGTATTCGAAGATCATGAAACGTTTAAGGTGTATGAGTCCCCTTAAACAAGTATTTTATTTCATTAATCCGTCTATTTTTATGATCTGGTTGGGCGAGTGCCTGAAGCGCAGGTTGGGCATCAGTATAAATATTTATAAAACATCGAACTGGTAATTTTTTTATTAATCCAATTTAAAGCCTCCGTCAATGCGTATAGTTCTGCTTGATAAACCGAATTCATTGGTTTAAGTTTTATTCTCACATCGTCTGTCCCCACTCCATGAAAATAAATTACCACAGTGCTACCCACTCCCCCATCCATTCCAGAACCATCTGTAAAAACGTCTATTTCGCCACCAGAAGGAAACTTAAGATCAAACAAAGTCAGCAGTAACAATCAGCAGGAATTTCGATGGCGTAGAAGTGTTGATCCACAGTGAATAAGAAATTGGAGGCCAAAGCAGATTAAATATTTATTATTTATTTCAGCACACATGTTGCGACCACAAACAAGTTGGCACCTTAAATGTGCCCATTCCAGAAAGTTTACATTTTAGATAAATTTGCAGACAGAAGAAGCAGACAGACTATGGGTTTCGACTTCCCTGTTCCGAGTAACTGAATCTCAGACAGACTGCAGTCCAACTACGTCAAAGCGTAGAAAAGCACGTGCATTACTTTCAGGGTGATATCTTAATTCAGATTGAGTTAGTTTTGGTTCTCAATGCATTTTGATTGGATAGTTAATATTGTTGTAAAATTACTATTGGCTGTCTGAGTTTTAGTTCAATTTACATCATCAGAATTACGTAAGAATCATATCACATAGAATAGTCTCAAAGTGACCCAGTGAAGAGAGAGGATACTATTTTTAGAATTTAGAATGAAAATTTACGTTGCTAATTTAATCTTTCACATATTCTTTATTTTTCTTACACACACATCTATGTATACACACACAACACGAAGAGAGTTCTAAGTATTGGCTTTAACTTTTCGATTCAATTAATATTTACGATTTAATAATTATATATATACATACATATACTGCATTTACTGGTGTATTCCGTCTTTTTTTAAATTCCTACTATTAACTCATATTCCGCCTATATCTTGTTAAAATTTACAATCGTTAATAAAATACATTTTATTCCTCCACTCAAGTTCAAATACATTTTTTTAAAGTTGTAGTGAATGGCACTGGATGTTAATACAGTTGTTTCACATATTAAAGTCAATTCCTACTTATTTATTCCTGCTTATCGGAACATGCTGTTTTTATTAAATACATTATAAGACATAAGTTTTAAGATTATCATGTAGCTGAAATATTCAGCAGCAGGAGGATGAGCATCAGCAAGAGAAGGAGGAAGAAGAAGAGCAGCAGAAGCAGGAGGAGGAGCATCAGCGAGAGGAAGAGGAGGAGCAGCAGCAGGATGAGGAGAAGCAGGAGGAGAAGCGGAAGGAGGAGGAAGAGGAGGAGCAGCAGCAGAATGAGGAGAAGCAGGAGAAGAAGCAGAAGGAGGAGGAAGAAGAGGAGCATCAGCAAGAGGAGGAGGAAGAAAAGCAGGAGAAGCAGCAACAGGAGGAGGAGCAGCAGGAAGAAGAACTGCAGAAAGAGAAGCAGCAGGAGGAGCAGTAGAAGGAGGAAGAGGATGAGCAGCAGCAGGGGATGAAGAGCAGGAGGAGGAAGAGCAGCAGGAAGAGGAGCAGCAGCAGGAGGAGTAGTGGGAGGAGCAGCAGCAAAAGGTGTAGTGGGAGGAGGAACAGCAGCAAGAGGAGGAGAACGACGAGAAGGAGCTGCAGCAGGAGAAGCAGGAGGAGGGGCTGCAGGAGTAGCAGCATGAGCATTAGCAGGAAGAGGAGCAGCAGCAGAAGGAGGAAGAGAAGAAGCAACAGCAGGCTATGACGTCATTGTTTAAATTTAATGTAAAACTTTATCTTTTAATCAGACTTCAAAATAACATTTTGTTAACAAAAATTTACTGAGAAATTGCTGGTAAAAAATCAAATAACAAATAATTTTCTAAGCTAGAACAACTCATTGCTAAAAAAAATCTGAAAATAAAAGTTCCTAAAGCGGTACATAGTTTTAACACATTGGGACGGTGCCAAATGCCTAAGTCTTTCGAAACACGAAGCCATAAGGGAAAACATCAGAAAAAATCCTTTAAGTGACTATTGAGTCTCATTCAAATTAGCGTTCAGAGTTCTTTATTAATATCTCAGCTGATTAAAGTCGTACGAAGATGAGAATGGTATCAATGGATTCCGACGAATTTCTGGAATCAGGGAATATGTGCCTCGAAATTCAACTAAGCGCCGTTTTATAGATATTTGTAAAAAAGGAAACTGGCGCGTAGCCAAATCCCTTAAATAGGGAAAAACCCAACAAAGGAAGGGGAAAATTCGAGTTGAATTTATCGTTCGGAAAAGCGTTTTTAATTAATATCTCGGCTATTTAAAGTCGAACGAAGATGGGAATGGTCTAAATGGCTTACCAGGAATTTTTGGAATGTTTCGCTAAGCCTAGAAGCGAACGGTTCGACAGAAGATGATGTTACAAACAAATAGACAGACGGGCAGGGATTTAATATAATAGATTTTGTAAAACTTACAAATCTTTAATTAACAAACTCTACCATTTGAAAGGAAGCAGCGGTGACATTTTTTGAAGTAAAGCAGATTTTTAACTCTAGTACACGCAACTCTTGCCACTCAAGAGAAGGAGATTGAAAATTAGCATTTTCAGAGGTTTTAATTAATATCTCCGCTGATTAAAATCGTACGAAGATGAGAATAGTTGAAAGGGCTTTCCACGAATTATTGGAATCTGGAGTACCTCTCTCGAAACTCAACTCTCCACCGTTCCGGAGGAGATGATGTTACAAACAAAGAGATCGATGCACACAGATTTTTAATAGTATAGATAACAAGATATATCCCTAACACATATAATCTCTTTTAATATCATTATTTATCTACCGTAACTATTCGAAAATAAAACCCCCTATAATTGAAGATTCTTCTTACATTTTAGACTAAATTTTAAGACATAAAATTTAAAATAAATGTTTTTTTGCTTTGCAATAATTCTGGGAAATAAAATCGCATTTTTTTACTATCCCTTCCGAATTTGCCCAGTTATTAAGTGTTCAGAATGAGCTCGAAAACTGGTAATTCCAATAACATTTGTTTCCTCTTCTCTCTCATGTTCTCATTGGTTGTTTAGAATGGTTTTCCTTGCAAATTTTAGGCCTACAATCGTTCCTGAATTAGTCTGAATTTTTATGGAGTCCATTCGTCGTCCAGCATGCTGAGAATGTTTATTCTCAGTACTTTGGGGGTTTCGAATTTACGCGAAGATGCCTAGGGATGTTTGGGGATGTCGAGGGTAAGATTCCTAGGCCTCTGTAAATATTTAATTGAAATGCCCTCGCTTTTGCCGTTATTTCGATAAGTAATACTTGCATGAGCAACAAATTTCAAAAGTAATGGACGCCTGCTTGTTAAACCTTCTGTTGCCGGCGGTCTAACACTGAAACCACCAATTCTAAACTATGCAGAATATAAGCTGGTGGTTTTCTTGAGGAACCACATGCATGAATAGGCAACATCTTTTATCCACCAGCTTACGACGCGTAGTAGAAATTTCAGAATAAAATGCAATGTTTGATCAGTTTACCATTTTCTTGGGGGTGATACCACTTGCAGACCTTGCTTTCTGTTGATTTTGCGCAATAAAATTTTAATACAGCTTGTGCCACCCAAACGGGATAGGTCACCGACGCTGACTACTCTACCAAAGGACCTGGGATCGAATCTCGGAGAAGGCATGGATGTTTGTAAATGTATAGTGTCTGCGTGTTATGAGGCCACTCTAAATATGAGGCGAGCCGAAAGTCCTTTCCAGAGGTTATGGTAGTGGAAGGAGGGGTAAAAGACCTTTGGATAAGGCTCCCTGGGGAACTGTGCTAAAGGTGGGCTGTCACCTATGTGGTGGTGAAGACACTTGACAATAACAAGCGCATTTAGCTCCTAGCCGCTGTGAATGTCGTAGGTTTATGCTGACTTTTACCAGACAAGTGAGATTTGTAGCAACAACAATACCACTTGCACAAAGGTAAAGTTTTTTTTTTTTTCAACGTTGGTGACCCTACGTCTTTTGGCATTTTATTCGGGTAAAAATTACAAATTCGAACATCTTGTACTCTGTGTAGAGTGAAAATCAATCCTTCGAACTGAAAGATTTTTCGAGTTTCTGTCATTATTGATAAGCGCTGACGTGAAAAACGGTTGTGGTGAACGTATAAAACGTGAAAAACGTGGACGGAAAAAGAAGACATCACAAGATACTATATTCTAGAAAATACAGACCTTTTGTTCCATTTGAGATTCGCCAACAAGAAGCAGCACATTGGCAATATATGGAACATTTTTGCGATATGGTTTATGCAGCACAAAAGCTGAACCCCATATCACAAAACGGCAGCGCACAGTTTGCAATGTCCGACACTACCTGGGTAAGAAGAGCTTCTTTCTATAATACCATCAAAAACAAATTAAGACGTAAAAAATATTTTTAAAAAAATTCAGAAATATCTGAAAGATTTCAGATTTTAACGGTCACCCAAACGAGTTTATTAAGGTTTTTACGCTTTCACTGACCTCGCAGTCTACAAGTCTGCTACTAAATCTTTTATCATTTTGTTCTTAAGCACCATTTTCTTCGCACTTATGGCACACAGAATTAAACAACAAGTTTTAAAAGCAGCATAACAGTACACGTTTAGAATTCCCGATACAGAGTTAAGTGTTGCCATATATTTTTCTGTTTTTTTTAGTCCAAAGGACTTTGTCCCTGAAGGACTATTGTTTTCGTTTTGCGATTTTGCGTCGGACTCCTATAAACGTCGGTTCACTTTTCAAACTGTTGCCACAAAATGTTAGAGTCCTGCATTATATTTGAAGAAATTAAATAATGAAAAATCTGCATAAATGTATGTATATTTCTCGTATTGTGATAAAACAACGGTACATAGAGTCATCGAATTTTGAATAACGTAATCCTCCAACGAATATGAGCATGTGGAAAACCAAACTTGAAATTTGTTTTATGATCGATTTCCTATTTTTTAAAACTTTGACGAATTTTTGATTAACAAACTCAAGGATTTCAAAGCGAGCAATGGCAACGTTGTGCAGAAAAAACATTTTTATCTCCAGCGCGTGAGTCTCTGTATCGGAAATTCTAAAGATAGGCTCGTTTTAAATCTATTTTGCGATATTGCTGTTGCACTGGATCTTATGGTTTAAGTGCGAGGAACATGATATTTAATAAAGAAAGGTAACACACAAAATGTTAAAAAACGCCCCTTTGGACGTAATTTAAAATCTGAAACATTTCAGAGTTTTTTTTTTTTTTTTTTTTTTTTTTTTTTTTTTAAGAGGCAATTTGCGCAGATTAACTATTAATTTCGTTTTGGCATTTTGCGTTGAAACATTAATATGAACTATAAACATTACATTGTTGCCACCAAGTATTAGAGCCCTGTATTATATTTAAAGAAATTAAATAATGAAGAATCTACATAAATTATGTATGTTTCTCGCAGTACGATAAAACAACCGTACCTGGAGACATCTAATTTTGAATAATATATAGACATTTGGAAGCCCAAATTTTGAATTTGTTTTATTACCTATTTTGTATTTTGTAAAGGATTTATGAGTGTTTGATTAAGAAACTCAACGATTTCAAAGCGAGCAGTGGCAACACTATAGAAGGAAAAAAAACATTTTTATCTCTAGTGCGCGAGACTGTGTATCGAAAATTATAAAGATATGCTCTATTAAAAATTATGTGATATGGCTGTTAAACTGAATTTTATGGTTTAAATGAGAACATGGTATTTAATAAATTAAGGTAACACACAAAACGTTAAAACAATTTGAAACTTTAAGATTTTTACTTCCTTGTACGAAGTAAAAAGGAAGTATTGTAATCGCGAAATGTTTCAGGCAGCATATTTCAACGAAATTATCCCATTTTGACCACTTTCATATGCAATTTAACGATGTATTTCCGTGATATCTGTACGTAAGGACAGAATAAAACACTCTTTTCCTCCAAAAAAATTATAAAACTGCTTTAAAATGAATTCTGAAGAGAATTTTTCGTGGCGTCTGTACGAACGTATGTACGTACGTACGAACGTATCTCGCATAACTCAAAAACGAGTAGTCTCGGAAGGTCGAAATTTTGTATATAGGACTGCTATAACATGTAGATGTGCACCTCGTATTTTGGTTGCAATCGGCCGCACCAAACGTATATAAATATATTTATATATATATCCAATCAGTTACACGGCTCAGTGATCTCAGTTTCTTTACTCTTATATGTTTGTAAATTGTAAATTTTTTGCTTTAAAAATGATTGAATTATGTTGTTCTTATCTTCCGGTTAAGGCGTTATGCCTTTAGTAAATCTGTATGCAATATTTTTAGAATTATCAACAATTTTAAAGTTGTTTAAGGTGCCGCTAAACCTAATAATGTTTTTGATGGCGGCCATTTCTCTTGTTTACATTTGATACAGCAGGATAGCGGATTTGTTGCCAATCTAGAGAAACTTAGCTT